ACACACACACACACACAGCGAGAGAGAGAGACACACACACAGCAAGAGAGAGAGACAGAGAGACCCATACAGCAAGAGAGAGAGAGAGACACACACAGCGAGGGAAAGAGACAGCGAGAGAGAGAGACACAGAGACACAGCAGCAACCTGCAGCACAGTATGATTTGGTGTTCCTCGTGCATAAGGAGTTGGCATCCCAGTTCAGCATATAGTAGCAAAGGCAAATTGAAGTAAAGGCCGATATTCAAAGGGAATGGAGCAAAGTAGCAACGTCTTTCGCAAGCTACAGAAGGCACTAAATCAGACCACACCTAAATTACAGTGAATAGTTTTGGTTCCCTCATCTATAAGATAAACTGGCTTTGGAGGCAGTCTAAAGAAGTCACTCGAAGATCCCAAGTATGAGGCGATTTGCTTATGAGGGGAGATTGAGTCGTTTGGAGGTTTAGTTAAATGAGACGCACTGTTATTGTGCAAGACTCTCAAGATTTAGCAACAAAAATTGGGTATGGCATTTACATGGGAACGGGAGAGGCCAGTTGTTTCATCAATTCATTTTGGAGCATACTGGAGGAAGCGATTTGCAATAGGTTTTTTTAAGAATGGATGTTTTCCTCCCGCGTGAGAAATATCACTATTAAATGGAAAATAATTGCTTTTAAATGCAAAAGCCAACTGTCTGCAGGTCTCTTCTCCCCCCACCACCATCTCACAAAGCAAAGATATTGTACATTCTCTTAGAGTGGCCTGAAAATACTCCTTTCAAGAAAGTACTGAATGCAGAAGAATAAATAAATGTCTGAAACTTTAGGAATATGCGTACCACACCGTGTCAAGTAACACAAGCCAAATAACTCAATCATTACCAGGGATAAAAACTGATTCGAGCCATATTTCGATAGACACGTAGTCCTTCAGAGGATATCCCAATCTTTATCTCTAAATTGCCTTGATCCTAAAATAAATAAATCAGTAACTCACAACAGTATGCCCAGGTCTGTAAGAAGGCAAATGAAGACAATATATTGAGTACATACTTCAATAAGAATTGAAAAGATTTGAGCGCAGCATACCGTTTTCATGAGGAAGTCAATTTCTTCGACAGGATCACACTTGACAAGGCGGTTTGCTTTAAATTGGTTCAGGATTTTTTAAAGTTATAGCGGGGATAGGGGAGTGTAATTTGGTGTGAGCCAGGATACAGCAGAACAAAATTGGATAAATTAGAGATTATAGAGGGTGAAGGATGGAAGATTAGTCAGGAGAGCATTGGAATAGTCATGTCTGATGGTGACACAGTTATGAATGAATGCTTCAGCCGATGGGTTGAAAAAAGGCAATTATGGCCAATATCACAGAGGTGAAATTAGATAGTCATTAAGAACAAACACAACCGATCAATAACAGCATACATAATGCTCATTTGTGCAATAAGTAACCTCGTTAACACCAATCGGCCTATCTCCCGCTTCTCTATCTATGCTTTGTCAATTTCCAAGAAAGTGACAACCCCAATAGGATGGGACAATGCTATGGTCTGGTTTACTTGGTTGATAACTGTCTTTTGATAAAGTCCTACACGAGAGGCTGTTAATTTATCCCAACACTGTGGATTCAGGTTAAACCATGGAAATTGATAAGAAAGTGGTAAAGCAGCAGGAAATGAGGTACGATTACAGTGCAGCAACAAAAAGTGGGAGGAAATACTGAATGAGGTGGCTCAGTACTGATACAATTACTGTTTCTGATGTACATATAAATTACTTGCATTCATTAACACAGTGCCAGGTAGCCATATTTGCAGATGATATTATATTAGGAAGGTCGGTGCAATCAGAGGAGAAAGTTCAGAAATTAAAGAATGGTTTGGACAAATGTTAATTCTATAGAATAATGGCAGATAAAATTTGATGTTGCCAAGTATAAAAATAAGAAGGATAAATAGATTATATACAACCAGAAGTGTTAAGATAGCTATGAAGCTAAAGCAAACTTAGGATATTCAACATTCATAATTAATGTGGAGAACCAATCAGCAAGCAATAACAAAACATTGAATTAAACAGCTACAATGGCAAATTCCAAGTCACAAGAGGTAACAATCAAAATACTGTGATCAACTCACATCTTAAAAATTGTATCCAGTTCTGATAGTCAAGAACTGAGAGAGATAGTCAAGCTTCTAGGAAGTGAAGACAAAATCAGGTGACCTGAGATAGGAACAATCACTGGTGAATCTAGGACTCTAGTCTATACAGGAGTACTTCAAACATGACCATGGTAATTTACCACTGTATTCGTCATCCTCCTCTGAATCATGTACAGGCGGATTCTCTCAAGATAGATATTCTCAAGCAGGTCGAGGGATCTCTACTGTCTGCAGGGCTCCATTTGCCTTGATGTGCACGGGAGCACATTTCCTGGTTCTCTCAAGTCAATTAAACATACTGAATGCAGAATAGAGAAGCTTTCTGTTTTTTCTAACTTTTAAAATTCATCATCTTCATGAACAAAATACCAAATAGTTTTGTGAAAAGATGGTAGAACTAAATCAAACCACTCTTCCACAATTTGGATTTGCAGGAAACAGTCTCTTTATTAGCTTTAAAGATAAAGGACCAAATCTAATTATGTATTTTTTTTTTTTTAAAAAGGTTTTGTTATGCCAGACTGCTGCAAAGAATGATGAACATAAAATTGAGGGCTCATCCCAAAAAGCAGCATCCATACCGTGGAAGTTACCTAAATGAGAAGAAAACTACCTTTAGGATCGATGTCAATGCAAAGTGCTGGCCATGTTCGGCACGTCTAACAGCATCTGAGGAAAGAGAAACAGAGTTAACATTTTGAGTCTGAAATGGCTTTTCTTTGGAACTGAAGTAAGTTTCCAAACAAAAGACATATTGAATTCGAAATGTTAACTCTGCTTCCCTCTTCACAGGTGCTGCCAGACCCGCTAAGCTTTTTCCCAATGCTTCATTTTATTTGAGATTGCCAATATTTTGCTTTTACTTTTAATGTCATTTATTACAGATCAAATATCGAAACAGGCAAGCTTTATGCACAACTTCATTGCTGAAATTGAATTTATTCCTCCTTTTGGTGAAATATTGCATTTATAATATTAGTCAGTCCCACCATTCATACAGGGAATAAATCTTCTAAACAATGTCATCAAACTTACACTGTTGGATCTCCTAACGTAATGTTGAAGCATGGTTGCCTTGTTATTAATTTCATCCATATCTTTAAGGTTACTGGTCTAAGGTATTCTGGCATGGTTTTTTAGAAAAATAATTTTCTAAAAGACAAACCACAACAGAAAAATACCTCACAAATTGACAAATAGCAGGCTAATTCTTCTGTCTAATGCTGGTGAAACATTGTGTAGGGAAATGAGACAGATCTAGCAACAGGATGGGAAACTCAAAACTGCATTCTAATTAAGTTCTGTAACATGGCTTCTGGTTTATTTGTGAAGAGGCCAGAAATTGAAAGCTAATATATGTGCAATCGTCAGCTGGAAAACTGCAAAATTGCCCCCAAATAATTTTAAACAATCAAATCGAATTGGAATAAATATCAATTATAAAATTGATTATTTGCAGTGACAGGCTTACCCTTGCATTGTGCAATTCCACGCCATAAAATTCAAGGGTTTTTGCTCTACTTAGGTAACCAAGTTCTGCTTCTGATTGTTTAAGACCTCTAGAAAATTAATTTAAAAAAAAACAAGTTTGCCATGGGAACAATAGAAAAGAATTGCACTATTGTTCTAAAATGTCGCAGCATTTTAGATAATACTAAATTAAATTTACTGTGTCAAAGATTTATATGCAGAACTATGTTAAACAGGTTAATGAAGACCGAGGCTGCAAATAGATCTAAACAGCAACACAGAAAACTTTCCAAGAACTTTTTACTGAGTTTCAGTTGATTAATTACTAAACACAATTTGAGGAGATTATATCCAACAGCTCTTAAGCCACGGAAGACATTATAATGGTAGTGCTGACATTACTGTAACAACTGAACAGATAAAATGGATGCAAAATGAAATTAAGTAATTATTGAGTTACAACTGCATAAAATTCTTAAATAAACAAAAACTAATTAGAAAGCAGCTAGTTTATTTTTACTTTAGTCCCTTAATGAAAGCAATTTGGTTCTACCTGTGTTGTTTGTGCAAGGACATCACAGTGGTTTGAAATTCTTGGTTTTTATCAAGTACAAAATGGAAGTTTTCAATATAGCCAGGACGATGCTCAGAAGGATTGTATTCTCCAAGTTCAGCTGTAAGATTTAATTCATCATTAATGCTAATAGTTACCATTCCATCACTCCCTTCATTTTTTAAGCAAACAGTCTAGGTTTTCTTGACATATTTAATTCGTTTTAAGTGACTATTGCAATTGGAAAATTGAAGCTGAAAGTTACCTTTACTAGGATTTTTCACAGTTTCAATAGTACCTCTGCTTTTGTGAATTATATTCAGTTTGCACTATGCAATTTTGCATTAAACTGTAAATAATATTTAGCTTCAGATGAAATCAAATTCACCAAAAAAATGTGATATCACTTTTAAAAATGAAATTTTTCTTGATTTTTCTTAATGTATTGCTATTCCTATCCTAATACAACAACAGAAATTCTATTGATCTTGCCTGACACCTTCCAACTTTGTTTATTAAATTATGGCTCTAATATTAGTACTTTCTAAAATTATGTAAACATCGGAAAAGTAGATCATTCAGCCCCTTGAACCTGCTCAGCCATTTCTAGATCAGAGCGAATCATCAACCTCAAAACCATTTTCATGTGCCATCCCTTGATGCCGTTAGTACTTCAAAATCTATCAATCCCATCTTGAACATAATTACTGTTTGAGCTTTCACAAGACCATAATACACAAGCACAGAAACAGGCCATTCAGGCCATCAAGTCTGCTCTGCTATTCAGTGTTATCATAGCTGGTCTGATAATTTTCAACTCCACTTTCCTTTTTTTTGTATTAACTCTTAATTCCCTTACTGATTAAAAATTTGGCTATCTCAGCCTTGAATATACTTAAATGGCCCATCTGCAACAGTTCTCTGCTGTAAAGAATTCCTCAAATTCATTATTCATAAATAAGAAACTCCTCCCCAACTCAATCTTAAATGAGGCAACCCTACATTCGGAAATTATGTCCTCTGGTCCTGGACACTCCCTCAAGGGGAAACACCCTTTCCACATCTATCCACAAGTCCCCTAAGAATCTTGTATGTTTCAATAAAGTTGCCTTTCATTCTTATTCGAATGAGTACATGCCCAATTTACGCAAATTCTCCTCTTAAGACTATTCCTCCATACCTGGTATCAGCGAAGTAAACCTTCTCTGGACTGCCTCCAATACCAGTGTATCTTTCTTTGAATAAGGGAGCCAAAACTGTTCATAGTATTCAGCCATGGTCTGACTCGTGCCTGGAGTAGTTTTAGCAAAGATTTTACATGCCATTCCTATTGAAGTAAAGGCTAACATTTCATTTGTCTTCCTATTACCACCTGAACCTGGATGCTAACTTTCTGTGATTCATAAACAAAGATTTCCAAATACTTCTGTTCCATAGCTTGCTGCAGTTTTTGTCCATTTAAATAATATTCAGCTATAGTCTTCCAACCAGACTGCATAATCTCACATTTCTCCACATCATTCTTCCTGCCAAGCTTTTGCCCACTTGCCGGCCATGTCGATATCCCTCTGCAGATTTTGTTATCCTTACTGCTTGCTTTCCCACCAATTTTTGTGTCATCCACAATCTTGATTACAGTATCTTCATTTTCCTCATCCAATACACAATTCAGAAGTTTTACTTCACTTGAAGTGAAGAAAGTTCCCCTCTTTTCAGTCCTAAATAGTTTTGACCCTTATCCTGAGACCGTGTCCCTGAAATCAGGGCAAATGTGCTTTCTGCAACTATGCTATCTAACACTAAAAATATTCTTAGTGTCAATGGAGATCAACTTTCATTCTTCTAAACTCTGGAGAATACAGGGCACCTCCTCAATCTCTCTTCAAAAGGCAGTTCTGTCATCCCATGAATTAGTGTGATGAAGCTCCACTGTACTGCTTCATAGAAATTATGCCCTTTCTTAGGGAAGTTGCATACAATACTTCAAATTAGGTTTCTATGCAATTGAAGCAAGACAGTCTTATTCCTCTACTAAACACCTCTTTCAATGGAAGGCCAAAGTACCATTAGTCTTCCTAACTGCTTGCTGAACCTGCACACTAGCTCTCAGTGACTTATACATAAGGACGCACGTTCTTTTGGACATGAACACATCCTACTAAAATCTCTCACCATTTAACAATATTCTGTAACTCTGTTCCTCCTGTTAAAGTAAATAACTTCACACCTAGCCACACTATATTTCATCTGCCATGTTTTCTAATGCTTTTAGTATCCACGTTCTTAAATGTTTGGCTAAATCATTGATTTGCTTTTTTTTTCACAGCACTGGTGATCAGACTACTCGCATTTCCCCCTTTAGCACACTGCTGAACATTTTGGTGAATAATCTGCCACTGCACATTCTTTAGTATCTGCCCTATGCACTGCTAAATTACTACTAATCTCCCATCAACATTGTGCCTATCTAATTTTTCTTATTATCATTGTGACGCAGTTGATGGCTCATTCATATATCTGACTCCAAGATTCGCCAGAACTATTTCCTCTCATCAACTGTTGCTTACTTATTAATGAATATTTCCAATCATTTGAATATATCTAGGTCTTAACTGAATTTTGTTCTACATTGGTCAAATTCTTGTAGCATTCACAACTCCTAATTGTTCTGTAGTGTTTTGGAGCCCATTGTGATTTCTGATTATTTCAAACAGACAACATGCATACAAATCGTTGCTGAAAGGCACAACATTTTTTGAAATCAGGAGGTCTGTTTTAAATGGATAAGCATGAGCTAAGTATTTGCACAACATACCCTGCTAGCCGTTCTACCTGGGGACTGTTTTAGGGTATGACAATGGTAGTTTTGTTCTAAAAAGTTTATAATTTACAGATTTGAAAGTTCAAGGAAGCTCTTGACGAATAATTAAACTGGCATATTGAAACACTTTGAAGAAAACACTATGTACATTGATAATCAAATCCCAAAACCATAGTGAAGGTATTGAAAATATTATACGTTATATTTTCACCACTTACACTGGACTGCATAGGAAGCAAGTAAGGCTGCTTTATTGTGAGGACAAGGTAACCTGGAAAACACAAACTTGGAGATTATATTGTCAGAGTAATGTGATAACCTATAGTTAATCACATATGCATTAAATATAAATTGTGAAATACACCACACTAATCAAGTTTATAATAGATTCTTAACAAGTACTTTTCATTATTATGTAGTTGCACTATTACACACTCAAGCAAGTCTTTTGCAACATCCTTGTGCATCTGTACATTTTTCAAATTAATTGAAATAAATGAAATTGTAATTACAGGACTTTATGCAAAAAATATTCTTAAGCTGTTCATTATTAAAAACTTCAGAAAAATCATTCATCAGAAGTTACTTCAAAAACCAACAATATCTGCATCTGTCGGTCGCCTAATTAAGCTTAGCCTTGGGCCTTAAGTCTGGAAGTTGAAGAAATTGAAAACCCCATGATGGCACAATAAGAAAGGATATAGAATGGTTCCTCTGTTTTAGGCTCACCACCTGGCATTTAGGCTCAGTGCAAGGAATCACTGACTTAAACACAAGGACTGGTACAAGCAAGGTATACTGCAATCAAGTAGCTGAATCAAAGCTCATGCTACAAGGTTCTGCCACACAAATACTGTACCACAAGTGGTTTCAAAATGATTTGGGAGAGCTGGGAACCTCCAATCATAAGCACTGTCTGTCTCTAGGATACCTGACCAACACAGAGGTTAGAGGATCCCAACATATGAACACACAATTAGAAGAAATAAGGAGTTGGAAGAGACTATTTAATTCTGATCATGCTCCATTGATCAAGATCATTGCTGATTGTTACTTCAACACTATCTCCATTTCCATTAGTACCCGAACATCCATTGCCTTCTATCTTTAATATACTCAAGGACTAACAACATTCTCAGCTCTCAGGGTAGACAATTCCAAAGTTTCACATCCCTTTCAGTTAATTTGAATTCTCAGTCCTAAATTATCGACCCCTTGTTCTGAAACTATGACCCCATACTCGATTCCCCAGAAAGGGAACCGTTTTCTCATCAACTTTTGGAATACTGTGTGCAGTTCTGGTCACCCTGCTATAGGATGGATGTTGATTTACAAGGATGTTGCCAGGTTTGGAGGGTTTGAGCTACAGAGAGAGGCTGAATAGGCTGGGGTTATTTTCCCAGGAGCATCAAAGGCTGAGGGGTGACCTTATAAAGGTTTGTAAAATCATGAGGGGCAAGGATAGGGTGAATAGACAAAGGGTTTTCCCTGGGGTGAGGGAGTCCAAATCTCGAAGGCATAGGTTTAAGGTGAGAAGGGAAAGATTTAAAAGGGACCGAAGGGGCAACATAGAAGGGGAGTCATAATGGACTCAAAATGTTAATTCTGAGTCTCTCTTCACAGATGCCACCAGATCTGCTGAGTTTCTCTAGCATTCTTCTGTGCTTGTTTTACATTTCCAGCATTTATAGTAGTTTGTTTTTACATGATGCTTGATCAGTAGGAATGAGGTGCAGTAAAAGATTAATCCTGATTAGTGTATTGTGAAAAATAATTAGCAAGACAGTAAATCAAGTCTACTTACACCTTCTGCAAATATTCATCTGCATTATTGCTCCTACCTTTTGGAACTAACCCTGATCCTAACCCTACCTCAATCCTACGTAACAACGTCGAATTTTTTAACTCAAATCTCTGGCGTTTGATGTCATATCAATGGGAGACCATTTGTACTTAATATACATTTTATAGATTTTACAAATAAAAAATGCATGAATAAACTTGGAAGCACTATTTGCAAGATGTTGTTACCGATATAGAATGAACTATAAACATTTTGATGATATCTTATATATCGAATCAGAAAAAGATTACACACTTCATGTTCTGATATAATTGACCTGAAACCTCACTAAATGACACCAGATCAGTGTGCGCAGGAGACAATTTCAAAGTTAGTGGATGACAAAACTCAGAAGCATTATAAACTGCAAGGAGGACTGTGTAGAACTTCGAAAGGACACTGAAATGTTGGCAGATGAAGTTCAATGCAGGGAAGTATGAGGAGATGCACTTTGGTACAGAGAGACAGCATAAAATAAAGAGTACCATTCTAAAGTACGTGCAGGAGCAGACAAACATGGGTATATACATACTTAAGTAATTAAAGGTGGCAGGACCAGTAAAGAGAGCTGTTAATAAAGCATTCAGTATTCTTGACTCTACAATCATGGACACAGACTACCACAGCAGGGAGGTTATGATGAACTTCTTTATGACACTTTTTACACCACAGTTGAAATATTGTATGCAGTTTGGTGACATGCTATAGAAAGGATGTGATTTCATTGGAGAGAGCCTAGAAGAGGTTTACAAGAATAGTTTCAGGGATGAGACTCCAGTTATGAGGAAAGATTGGAGAACTTAGGGGCATTTAAACGTCTATTAGATAGGCATATGGATGATAGTATAAGGTAGGGGTGGAGGTTAGATAGACCTTAGGATTAGGGTAAAAGTTCGGCACAACATCGTGGGCCGAAGGGCCTGTACTGTACTGTACTGTTCTATGTTCTATTAACTTGAGATTGTATTCCTGGAAGAAGAGGCCGCTAAAAAAAGATCAGAGAGAAGTATTCAAAATCACGATGGTTTGGACAGAGTGGATAGGGAGAAACTGTTCTCACTCATCAGATTAAAACTGTGTCCTCTGGTCCTCAAAAGAACCAAAATGCAGGATGAGAAGAAGTTTTTTCACACAATGAGTAATTAGGGTACAGAATGTACTGCTTGGAAGTATGGTGGAGGCAGGTTCAATTTAGGCATTCAATAAGGCATTGGATAATTAATTAAATAGAAATAATACGCTGCATTAAGTGGGAAAGGCAGAAAATTGGGAAAAAAGCTGAAATACTCAGAGCCACTGCAGATATGATGGACTGAATGATTTCCTTCTGCACCATAACATTTCTGTGATTCTATGAATTCAGAAAAACTGCAATCACTAAGAAAATAGTACTGAGGAAATTGTTAGAGCTATAAGATAGAAAACACCAGTCGTTTAGTGAAAAAGGGTCTTGAATCTTTGGAATTCTATATCCCAGAGGACTACGGATGCTCAGTCATTGAGTATGTTTAGAGGTTGACAGATACTTATATACCAGTGATGTAAAGGGATATGGAGACGAGAGAAAAGTGCATTGAAGTGAATGATCTGCCATGACTGTACTAAATAACAAAGCAAGCTCAATGGATTACTCTTGCTCTTATGTGCCAAAGATCTTATTGTATCGTGAAGCAGACTTGAGGGGCCAAGTCTTCTCCTGCTCCGATACCCAGAGAAACATGAATAATTAAGATAGAAAACCTTCCCAGGAAACTGAAGCAAAAGTTAAGGTATTGACAGTCTTAGACATCATAAGATTAAAATGGGTTATGGGAAAAGCAGCATGTGAGAAGAAACAAGAAACCTTTTTGAAGGTAGTTTTTGCAATATATTTGAAACCAGCAGAAATATTGATGCCAGAAAACATCAATGTCTCCCAGTGGTCACATAACTTGTAAAATAAGAATTAGTTCACAGGTTTGAAACCTACTTTAGAAATTTCAGTACAACAATTAGGCCGACATTTTTAAAAATTCATTCACAGGGCATGGACATCACTTCCCTGGCGAGTATTTATTACCCAGAGGGCAGTTAAGAGTCAACCACATTGCTGTGGGTCTGGAGTCACACGCAGGCCAGACCAGGTAAGGATGGCAGTTTCCTTCCCCAAAAGACATTATTGAACCAGATGGGTTTTTGCAACAATCAACAATGGTTTCATCTTCATCGTTGAACTCTTAATTCCAGATTTTTATTCGATTCAGATTCCATCATCTGTTGTGGCAGGATTCGCACCCGGGTCCCCAGAACAATACCTGGGTCTCTGGATTAACAGTCCAGTGATAATACCATTAGGACATCGCCTCCCCCGTTTCAATACAGCATTATGGAGGGTGCTGCAGTGTTAATGATGCCATTTTTCTCCAATAATATATTAAAAATGCCTACCAGCTTGTTCACATCACCAAAGAGGATATCGTAGCACAACTCAGGGTAGGGAAAATCTCGTGAACTAAACAACATATTTTCTTTACCGCTATTATCAAAGGAGTAATTGCCTCACAACTACATATGGCAGGTTGTGTAAAGGGGGAGGCGATGTCCTAGTGGTATTATCACTGGACTTAATCCAGAGACCCAGGTATTGTTCTGGCGACCCAGGTACGAATCCTGCCACAACAGATGGTGGAATCTAAGTCAAAAATCTGGAATTAAGAGTCCAACAATGAAGATGCTTGCAATTTGTGTGGCACATGAAGCAGCGCTGCATTTACCCCTTGCAACACAACCACTCCTTCCACACCCCTGCCCATCCTCCCAAATCTAGGGCATTTCCTCTTTTTTATTCGTTTATTAAAAAATGCACAAAATAGTTGAGTTTTTGTACTGTTTCCCAATATTGGTGATTAGAGCTGTAATTTAGTAACACATATGCACAAGTAAACTTTTATAGAAATCTCATTATGCCAATAATGTAAATATGCTATCCTGGGTCTTTTTTTGTTCTTTCATCGGATGTTGACATTGCAAGCTTTTGTTGTCCATCTCTAACTACTCTTGAATGGAGTGATTGCTAGATCACTTCAGATGGCAGCTATGAGTCGACCACAGATTGCTTTGGATCTAAAGTCACATTAGACCAAACCAGGTAAGGCGGCAGACTTCCTGGATGTTAGTTTGGTTAGACTAACTTTAGCATCAAAATTATTGATTTCCTTCCTTACAGCATATTAGTGTGGTTAGATTAGCTTTAATACCAGAAATGTTAATTGAAGTTAAATTTAACCAGGTGCGATGATGGGATTCAAAACTTTTTCCAGGGCTTCTTAATTACTACTTCAGTGGCATTACTACTAGATCACCATCTGCTCAGTACAATGAATAGAATCAGGATTTAAGATCATATTCAATCTAACAACTTCTTCACTCATAGTAGATGTACCAATCAATAACATGCAATCAAACTATTCTTGCTTATTATTGAAAATAGAAATTTTATTGAAAGGAATCAACGCAGGTTGAAAAACTTATAATCTGTTCATTATAGGTAAAAGAATGCATGCTGCACACAAAACAATATTTACCTTCCATCAATAAAGTCCTTCTTCAGTTGTAAAAAATATAAGTGTCTGAAAAATAGATGATAATGCTAAATATCAGCGCATAATCTAATTATAGATGTTGCTTGAAAACAGAGGATTCCAATGTGTATCAGCATTCAGATCTACAAGTTTGAATGGAATACTTTGCAAGAACATCATTCTGGAACAAATTTACTAACAGTCACAAGCGTATAGAGTTCTGAACTTACATTGCATTTCATCTAAAACTTTGTTGCCTCTTAGGCCACAAATGACTGAAACAAATGATTTAGAAGCAGTTTCTACTTGCTAAAATGATGTAAATGACTGCAATTTTTAACCCAACATTTTCATTTGGACCAATAATGCTCCTACTAACAATAATTCAGCTAAGAACTCAATCTATGACATATCCTGTTCCATCATAAAAGATCAGATCGGAGCTCAGGTTTTCCATTTTAAAGGCCAGTCTGTTTTCATTTCACACAGTAACTGGATCTTAGAAACATATCAACATATTTTCTAAGAGTCAAACTCTTGTGGCATTGTTCACAGGGAGGTAACACCAAGAATCAGATAAAAGTCCCAAGTAAATTCTTCAAAGAAACAAATGAATGGACATTGCATGGACAAAGCTCAGGACATATCAGATCATTCCTGGGGAAAGTACAGACAGAACAAAACCAAATCCTGAGAAATCTGACAAAAGTTAGATGACTGAGCACCAAAGCCAATATGTTTCTAGCTGGAAATGGGTATAACTATGGGTAACCTTAATTTTCTTTTGCAGGTATCTTTATATGATTTCTGTGATCCAAACTGTATTTCACTGTCTCACTGTCTCAATAAAAGTGTTATTGGATTGTAAGTGGAATGATGAACTTTTTCCTACGGTAGGGGAGTCCAAAACTAGGCGGCACAGGTTTAAGGTGAGAGGGGAAAGATTTAGAAGGAACCCAAGGAGCAACTTTTTCATGGAGAGGATGGTGCACGTTTGGAATGAGCTGCCGGAGGTGGAGGAGGAGGTGGACGTGTACACAATTACAAGGCATCTGGATGGTACGTGTAGAAAGGATTGAGAGGCCTATGGGCCAAATGCTGGCAAATAGGACTAGATCAGTTTAGGCAATCTGGCTGGCACAGAGGAGTTGGACTAAAGGGTCTGTTTGTGTGCTAATATAACTTTATGACTCTATCACTGAAAGAAAAGTCGAAAGATTTGATTGCTGTATTTTCTGTATTTTAATTTACTGTATTATTTTGCTGTATAAACAGGCAGCACAGTGGTTAGCACTGTTAACTCTCAGCGTCAGAGAGCCAGGTTCAATCCCAGTCTTGGGTGCCTGTGGAATTTGCATGTTCTCCCTGTATCTGCACAGGTTTCCACTAGGTGCTCCGGTTTCCGCCCACAGTCCAAAGATATGCAGGTTAAGTAGATTGGTCATGTTGAACTACCCTGTGGTGTTCAGGGATGTGCAGGCTAGGTGGATTAGCCATGATAAATGCGAAGTTACGGGAATAGGGTGGAGCCTCTGGGTTGGGTTGGATGCCCAATTGGCCTGTTTTAGAACTGTAGAGATTGCATGATTCTTCAGAATGGAAATGTGACCGGCCGAAAACGCAACAGTTGAAGTAACGTGCCGACAGCAAGAGAGGACAAAACCTGGTCGGCACCTTTTAGGAGTCAAAGGCAAGTCAGCTATCCCCCATTTTCATACCACTACTAATCTAGGATTTCTCAAAAAGAAACCTCTGTGGAAAAATCCTCCAGTCTGTAGCCATGATTTTGCCATTTTTAAAATCACATAGATAACTACACCATGGAATGTGTTAGATGCAAGGCTTTGAATTACACTTGAGTCTGAAATATGAAATGGAATTTCAATACATCAAAATTCTGCACATTAAGCAATAGCCAATTGAATAAATATCACTATTTACACTTCTTGGTTCTGCACATGCACAATACAGAAGTATTTTGCCAGATATTGTACTTACATGCACATAGCCTACCTTGTCTGTTCTTGCTGCAGAGCATTTGGGTCTGTTACAAAAAATCTCACTCGGAAATTTACTGCACCTCCTGAAATATTTTGGGTAAAAAAAGACACATTTAAATTGTTGAACCTTTTTTTTTTTTTTTAAAAAAAAGTTGTGCGCGCCCATGTTTGGGCTTCTTGCATTTCAAGTGCCTAGCATCTGCATCACGTACTCTTCCAGTCAAGTATGGCAAAGCCAGGCATAAAATAAAGCTCTCTCTAACACTGCTGCAAAAACATGCTTTATCTGTAATGTCAGAGCAACAAAATGTACTTAATGTAGTAACATGTCCCGAGGTATTTTGCTGGAGCTTTAAATTATAAAATTTGGTACCATTCCACTAAGGTTAGGGCAGATGATCAGAAGTTTGGATAAAGAAATATCCAAAATGTGGAATGTATCCAAAATGTCGGATGCATCCAAAATGTGAAAAAGGTGGAGAAATAGAGGAATTTCCATGAACTAGTGCCTTAACAGCTGAAGGCCTGGCCACTAGTGGTGGAATGATTAAAATTGGAGATGCTCAAGAGGCCAGGACTAGACAAGTGCTGATATCTTGGAGATATATCTAAGAATTCCACTATTGTTGAAGTGGAACATCCATGAGAGCAGCCTTTGAGAACACTGTCTCAGCCCACACTTGCTGGAAAAGGGATTAATACTGATTTTCTACTAAACTCCCACGGTCAGCAGCTTAGGAAGATTGTATTCTATTTTCCACAGCATTTCTTGTAGAGAACATCTAATGTTATTTCAGACGTTATAGAGTAGACCTTTTTCTCCTCCCAGCAAGTGTCTCAGGCTTGAGAATTCAGTGGTGAAATAGGAGAACAGACTGGCGTTGCTACATAACATACCTAATGACATGAAAACCTGGTCCCAATAATTAAATGACTTTCTCCAGAATTTGGAGAAGGTTACAAACATCTACAAGACAGTTAGATAGAAGTTCTATTTCTAGTGGTACAGTAACACTACTGGACTTCTTTTATTCTTATGCAATAAACTGCCCAAAGTGAACAGTATCTTATAGGCTAAATACTACATTCATGGTGTTTTTGATTAATACCACAGTTTGTGTTATAGTACAGGAAGCTCCTTGGTTTAGTTACTGGCCTGTTCTCAGCTCTATGTCATTTGGGCCACATGAATTGTTTTCAGCATTCCTGTCAAGAGTTTCATTGTTAGCCAGTCACTCCTTTTAAGTCCACAAGTAGATACTGAATAAAAGCAAGAACTCAACTGTGACATGTGTAAATATTCCAACACTCAACAGTTCAGGCTCATAGTTAAACAGCCATATGTTAGATATGGCAGAGAGAAACCAAACAATATTTTCGGGCTCAGAAAGAAAATCTCTTATTTTGAACAAGTATTGTAAGGTGCAGCCAAGGTTGTGATAGTATGGAGCTAACTTGAAACTATCAGCAAAGCTAATTACTAGAGCATCAAGCACTCTCTCAAACACATTAGGAGAGAAACACTGCAATTAAGAAAACATGTTTTGTGTAAACTGAAATATCATTGCCTGTTTCCTAAAGCACATAACTTGTTCATATTTACCTACATTTTTAGTCCAGGCATAAAAGGTTAGTTACATAATTTCTCTTTGAAGAAATAAATTAAAACTGAAATAAAGGCCAAATGATTCAACTGAAGAGTTTTGGAAGGTTAATAATATTTAGTTATAGTAAGTCACTAGGCTTACCTTTAAACTGTTTCCTGATAGGTTTGCTAGGTTCAAGCCACCTCTGTGCATGAAATATTAGTAAATCCAGGTTAGATTTTAATGTTCAAGTTAGTATCAAAAGGCATGCATCGAAGAAATAATGTTTAAACTTTAAAACTAAAATGTACTTACAGGACACTCTATTGAGTCATCTATAAATTGTAAACCAAAATATTCTTTCTCAATCAAGTCCAGGTGTTTATAGACCATATCCAACAGAACTTGACCGACATCTTGTTTCTGTAAAATGAAACATGTTTTTTGATAGCAAGAGCAAAGCACCCTGGGACTGTACAACCTGAGTACTTGGTTCCCACAGTTGGTCTAACTGAATATCAGAAATAAAAACAGAAAATGCTGAAAATATTCAGGTCATACTGCAACTGCAGAGAGAAAAACAAAAGTTAGCATTTCAGGTCAATAAATTTGATTAGATTTCAATTTCAAGAATCTGGCTAAATAAACAAACATACACTTTACACGTGTCTTCACAAAGCAAGTGGATGATGTGATAATTACATCGAAGGTGAAGGGAATTTTTGGCCATAATAATAAGAGAAAAGTATAACAATAAAACCCGAAAGTTGCCAAATCCTCTAAATGCTGAATTAAGATAGAGTGCAACTTAGTTTGCAGAAAAGAAAAGGCAGAAATAGTTGAGAGTACATATCACAACTTTCCAGTCCTCATTAGATACATGGATCCTGTAGGCAAACTGGAGAGTTACATATCAGCATTCAAAAAGAAAGGAAGGGGATAAACTAGGAATTTACAGGTCAGTCAGCCTAACATCAGTGGAGGAAAAGTTACTAAAAACCACAAAGGACAAAATAAATCTTTATTTTCAAAGGCATCAGTTAATCAAGGAGAACCAGCACAAATATATGTTAGAGACAAATCATTTATGAATAATTTGACTAAATTCATTGATGAGGTAACAAAGAAGATTGATCAAGTTAGTGCAGTATGTTTTATATATGTGGACTTCCAGAAAACATTCAATAATGTGCCTCACACAAGCCTTATTCTGAAACTGAAAGCCCATGTAGTTGAGGAGAGAATGGAAGCATGGCTACAATATTGGTTCAGTGTCAAGAAACAAGTATTGTAGTGGACAGATATTTTTCAGACTGGGAGGTGAGCAATGGTATTCCCCAACGGTCAGTTTTGGGTTAATTTGCCTTCGCAATTTTTGTACGCAACTTTGACCTGGGTGTAGAGAGCAGTATTATAAAATTTGCAGATATGGAAGAAGTTGGCGAAGTAGTAGAGTGTGTAGCGGAGAGGGCAATTGTATACTTCAGGATGACAGACTGGTTGTGAAACGAGCAAAGCTGATGACAATAAAATGAAAAAATATGAAGTGACCCACTTTGTGAAGACTAATAAGGAAATACAGTACATTATAAATAACAATATTTTATAAAGCATAAGTGGGCAGAGACGTTGGCGTCCAAATACAAATATCACGAAAAGTAGCAGACAAGTTAATCAGATGGTTCAAAACATATGGATTACTTGGACTAGTACGAATAGCAGAATATAACAAAGAAATCATGAGACAACTCCATAAATCATTTGTTAGACTTCCAGCTGGTGTACTGTACAATTCTGGGCACCGCACTTCAAAAAAGATGTACTGGTATTTAGAAAGCGTATATAGGAGAGTTAACACCATTTTAGCAGAGATGAGGCACTTCAGTTAGGAAATTGGAAGAGTTAGACTGTTCTCCTTGGAACCAAAAAGGTGAAGAGGTAACCTAATAGAGACATTCAAGATGCAGAAAGATTTTAATAAGAGTAATTAAAGAAAAATTATACTCACTGACATGCAATTTAATAACCACAGGTCATAAATTTGAAATAATTGGGAGACAATCTAGTCAGGAGGTAAAAAAAATTCACTTAGTCACTGCAATTTGGAGCACTCTACTTGAAAATGTGAAAACATGATTCTAAAGTTATCTTAAAAGGGAACTGGGCAGATATTTGAGGAACAGCCTAATGTTGGAAAAGAAAGTGAAGATGTGAGGATAAGTACAACTCTCCCCAAAGAGCCAGCAGTGACATTTGGGCCAAAGGCTGTAAGTCACCGTTTACAGATCAACAAAAGGGCATATTTTCTCTACAACCTCTACCCCAAATATGCACGGTAAGTCTCAGTTGATTTATTTCCCACCATAACATACTAACAAATAAAAAGAAAAAGCAAGAACCAAATAAATTTGAGATATGAACGCAAAAGCAACTCACAAACAGATTCAAGAGTGAGACCATGTTATTCAACTTGTCACAAGCACCATTCAGCAGACATGTTACATGTTAAACTAGTTAACTACGCCAAATTTGATTTTTAAAAAATCTAAGTACTTGCAGTCTGTTGGTCCTTAAAGTAGCACTATGATAGGGATTTTCAATGCCAAATGTGTCACACTGTGTGCACACATTACTTCATTCATCACGTGAGTCTATCAACTTTCAAGTTGCAGAATCTGGCCAGAGCTCCCATAAAACACTGAAAAAAATAGCGATCATATCCCCCCTTTGCACTTTACCGTATTAAAAAATTTACAACACTCATTTCTATCCAAGTAAAAGTCAATCAGCATCCTGTTGTAGACCTTAATTTGCATATTTAAACTACCTTAGTGTTATCCACTTACAAGCCCACAAGAATATTTCAAAAAGAAGGCATAAAGTGCCAAAGATAGTAGTCGTGTGCTGACTCCCCTGCTGCTACCCACCCTTGTGATTTTCCATTGCTGATAGACTGTTCTTCATGTGAGAAATGAGGTTGGCAGATGAAAATCATTCCTTTCATATCAATGTTTGATTTTTACCAAAAATAATGGTTGAATTTTCAAAAGATAATTGATGATGTTTTACACCTGTAAGATGGATCCCACCTCTTGACATTCAGAAGCACTAAGTAAAAGACGCAAAGGACAAGGGGGTGTCTAGAATGCCACTCCACTGTTAAATCAGCAGAAGATGAGAATGCAAGTTTTATTGGTCTTTGACCCCTTATCTCGTTTGCTGGTCCTCAAACATTGTTACTGCATGCCCATAGTTTTGGGAGTCTTTACAAAAGTGTGGGTAGCACAACTTGAGCCAACAGGGGTGCAACATGGAGCTATGCCCACAATGGGGAGGCTAAGACAGAACAGGTGGCAGGTGCACATCAAGTGGAGATGAAGGGAATAGCGGAGGGATGGCAAGGGCACTGGAGGGCACAAAGGAGGATGCAGGCACTGGAGGGGAGGTGGGTGGGGATGTGTGGTATTAGTAACAAAGACAGGATGGCACTGGAGGGCTGGAATGGAGGATGGATATTGCATAGAATAAAAGAATGAAATGTGGTTCATAGGAGGGATGAAAAGAAGGGAAGAGTATAGAATGGAGACTGATATCATGGAAAGGATGGAAAAGCACTCGATGGGGATTTAGAGAAGTACTATTCCCATAAGACATATAATTTCCTTTACCACAAATAAAGACCGTGTCATACAGAATGGAAACAGACCCTTCAGTCCAACTCGTCTAATCCCAACCAAGTTTCCCAAACTAAACTAGTCCCATTTTCCTGTATTTGGCCCATATCCTTCTAACCTTCCCACATGCATTTGTCCAAACGTCTTTTAAATGTTGTAATTGCACCTACGACTACCACTTCCTCTGGCAGTTCATTCCACATACGAACCATCCTTTGTGTGAAAATATTTGCCTCCTCTGGTCCCTTTTAACTCTCTCCTCTCACTTTAAAAATATGCCCCCTAGTTTTGAACTCCCCCACCCTAGGGAAAAGACCTTTGTTATTCACCTTATCTATGCCCTTCATGATTTTATAAACCTCTATAAAGTCACTCCTCAACCTTCTATACTGCAATGAAAAAGTCCTATCCTATTCAGCCTCTCCTTTTAAGTCAAACCCTCCAGTCCCACATCATCCAGGTAAATCTGTTTTGAACCCTCTCCAATGTAATAATATCCTACCCATAACAGAGTGACCAGAACTGTACACAGATAACAGGAACTGCAGATGCTGGAGAATCTGAGATAACAAGGTGTAGAG